CAGATCCGGGACATCATGCAGGGTGAGGGCCGGGCCGGGGGGCGGAGGCTGGGGCGCGGGGAAGCGGGTACGTGGGACCCAGGGTCGGGACTGGAGATCGCCAGCCAACGATGTCTTCTTTCCCAGCTTTGCTTGTCAGGCCTTTGGGGAAGGAGCATACCGTGTCCCGGTTGCTGCGGGTTATGCAGTGTCTGTCGCGCATTGAAGAAGGGGAAAATTTAGGTATGGCTATTTCTGTGTTCTTTCCTAGGCTTACTTACGTAGAGCTTTGTTTTCAAACTTATATCTGGATCTGAAAGATTTGAGGTTAAAGTTCCCTGGTTTCCATTACAGTGTTCTTTTTCATTGTATGACAGCTCTGTTCTCTGGTTCTAGTTTTCTCCAGTTCAGGCTCTCGGCTACTTTTCTGAGCTTTTCATTTTTTTCCCACCTGTTAATTGGTCACCCCAACTTTGTTTTTGTCTCTAGTGAGTTATCTTGATAAAGGCATCTTTTGCCCTGTGGTAGAGTATGAGCACACTTTTTTGTTCCTGAACTTGACAGCTGTTTAGCAAACTCTCTTCAGTTTCTGGCCACTTGTATCTAGAATGATGTGCATCCTGAATTTGAGAGGCAAATGCATGTGTTAAATCTTTTTAGGAGACCTGTTTTGAAAAATATTATAACTACTTTAAATTTATTGATTTGAATTTAAACCCTGACAGTGTACAAAAAAGCCTGTAGCAGATGTATCAACCAATTAAATGCAAAAGTTACTATATATATTTGCATGCTCTTTTTTCATATATATATATAAATAGAGAGAGAGAGAGAGAGAGAGAGACATAACTTTTTCACTCCTTAGAAAGAGCTAAAAGTGAAAAAATGTTCTTTGTCCTAGACTGTTCTTTTGATATGGAGGCTGAACTCACTCCACTGGAATCAGCTATCAATGTGCTGGAGATGATTAAAACAGAATTTACACTGACAGAAGCAGTGGTGGAATCCAGTCGAAAACTGGTCAAGGAGGCTGTAAGGCTCTGTTTTTAATTTCCTTTTAACAAAAATTAGGGATCTTTGAAATACAGTGCTTAATCTTTCTGTGTGGGGTAGAGGAAAAACGCTATGGAGAGAACAAGCAAGCACACACACACGGACTTCAGGTACCTCCTCTCCCACCCAGGCTGGGAAAGTATCTGCTCAACCTTTTCAATTTGGGTGATTATCTTTGTGGCCCTGTCAGGAGGGACCACAATGCACAGGAAGTTGGTTGGCACTGAAGACAGCATTTTGGAGGCTATTGTACCATTCCGGAGCACTATGAAAAGCCTAATAGTTATTCTCACCTAGGGTTTGTTCATCCTCGTTTACAGTAAACGAAGGCTGGGGCCTTGGGAAATGAGGGACTGACTGAGTTTGTATGCAGTTATCTGCAGAAAGAGAGGTGTAGAGAACATTCCCTTTGAGCCTATAGATTGGAATCAGAAGTGCTGGGATAATGAGCCAGGTAGAAAAGCACAGGAAAGGCAGAAGACTGGTACCAACACTGCCCGTAAAAATCAAGAAAACGTAGGATGTCTAGAAATCTGGAGCTATCACTGTGTCACAGTCAGGCAGTTTAAGTATTAATGGTAGAATTTATTTTTATTTGAAACATAGATGTAGCGGGACCAGCAGTTAGCGTAATGGCTATGTCGCTGGACTCCCACGTAGTCGACTGTGCTTTGTGTCCCAGACCCAGTGGCTTAAAACTCACGCTGGGCGCATGTGCCTGCGTGCGTGCCCAAGATCCTGGGAGGAGACTGGAGGAGAAGGGATTGCGGCGTGGCCATCTCCCCTGGGGGGGTGATTTCTCGTTTTCTGTCTCTGTGTCTGTCTGGCGAGCGCACACGCCAAACAGCAAAAACCTCTTTTAAAAAAAAAGAAAGAAAAGAAAAGAAACATAGATATAGCTATGGGAAGCAGTCGGAAAAATATTTTTCTTCTTCATTAGCCAAGGCTGAGGGTCTGGAGGCAGGGTAGATGGTCACACCGCAATCCCTTCTCCATTCTCTCAGGATTGTGGGCATGCATACAACAAGTGCCCAGCGTGTTTTAAGCCTCCAGGTCCGGGACTCAAACCGTGGTTGGCCATGTGATATAACCATCATGCCATCTGTTGGTCCCTCTTCTTATTGTATTACTGTTACAGCAGTGTAACAGAATTATTCCAAGACTTACCAGGTTAATACAATAAATATTGGGCCAACCGGTGGTATGGTAGTTAACCGGCTGGATCCTACATGGTGGACTGTGTGGTTCAAGTACTAAATCCAGTGGTGGGGCTGTGTGCATGTGTGCCCAAAATTCTGAGAGGAGAATGGATGACAAATGATTATGGCATGGTAAGTCCCCCCTTGAGAGTGCTTCCCCCCCACACACACACACCTCTGTCTATCTCTGGTGAATGCATGTGCAAAACTAAAAGTAAACCAATATTCTGTTTCCAAAGGCCCAGAGGTGGTAGTTTAACTGAGTGGCTCAGAGTCTCTCCTGAGGTTACAGTCATTTCAAGCTCAGCTTGAGAATCTGCTTCCATGTTCCTTGTGCACATGGTTGTTAGCAGGACACACTTTCTCACTGGCAGTTGGAGATGTCAGCTCCTCGCTTCTCCATACATGACATGACAGCTTGCTTCCCATGGAGCAAGTGATCCAAGAGACAGTGAGAACCTAAGGTTGAATGTGTAATCTTTTATAATCTAATCTCAGAAAAGACATTTCATCACTTCTGCCATATCACACAAACCAATTGGAGAAGTGTGTGTGAATGAGACTCAAGCAGGAAGTAGGGATCGTTATTAGGGGCTACCTTAGAGGTTGACAACCGTAATTATCTTGATCTATTATTAAATGATACAATACAATTTGTTGCTTCAGTTTACTACTTTTTTTACAAAATTGTCATTTAGAGTCATAGAATGTATTAATGTCCATCTTTGAGAAAATGCCATGGGATCCCTCAGCTCAGTGAGACCTTTTGATACATTTAAGCTTTATAAAGTGTTGCAACAATTTATTTAAAAGTATATTAAAGTTTATCATTTAAGTTATTTGTTAATCTAGAACTTAGTGTATGGGGATTTCTAGAGGAGGTCTCCTAGACTCTTTCAGAGGGTTCATAAGGTCAAATTTTTTTTTTTAATACCGAAGTGATATTTTCAGTGCACTGACATTTGCATCAGTGCAAAAGCAGTGATGGGTAAAAACTGCAGGTGCCTTTGCACATCAGTATAGTGGAAACTACTTGTAGTCATCGTAGTTTTCACTGCCAAGGCAATTTTTTAAAAGCCTCTAGTTTTAATTAAGAATGTTTTTGATTAAGCAGTAAAGATTTTATTATTTTTATTAAATATAGACCCATAAGTAAACATCTTTTCAGTATTTTGTGTAATAAAATACAGAGTATGCCTAAAGCATTCTGCTGTATACCAAACATGGTGGTTTTAGGAAAAGCCTTTGTGTGATTACTTTGAGTTGCATGCTGAACTAGCTACCTTCTTTATAGAGCAACATATTTACCTTGAAGAGTAACTGACAAACTGGTTATTCATACTTGGTATTTGCCAGTCATTTTCTTAAGCATGTACAAAATGAACCTGTCATTTAAAACAGTGACAGTATTTGTTGCCAATGATAAAACTCAGGCTTTCAACTGAATATAAGAATTTTGGGAAACTTGTAGTCATATGCTCGATAGCTTCCCAATACTATTTCTGAAGATTGGTAATATTTAAAAATAAATAAATAAATAAAATAAATATTGGTAATATTTCAAGTCACAATTGTTATTTGAAAAGTATTTTTAATGAGAGTGCTAGTATTTAGAAGATTTATATAACTAAATGAACCAGCATTTTCTAAGTGATCAATACATAATGTTACAGAATCATTCATGGAAGAACAATTCATTAAAGGATAAGACTGACAGTTTTTGGGGGAACAATTTTCACTATAGGGTGTTTGCGCTTGCTGGAGAGACTGGAGATGGCCACACTGCAATCCCTTCTCCTCCATTCTCCTCTTGGGATTTTGGGCACGCACACACATGTGCTTGGTGTGAGTTTTAAGCTGCCAGGTCCAAGACCAAGACCCCTATCAGCAATGTGAGATTCCAGTGCCTTCACCACTATGCCACCTGCTGGCATAGATTGATAAGAGGTTTTGTTTTTTTTTTTAAGAATTATTTTATTTAACTTTATTTTTAATTCAACCAAAAAGAGAGCGCGAGAGAGAGAATGTTGCCAGATCCAGGACTCGAACTGTGATTGGCCATGTTGAAGTCCAGCGCCCTTAACTACCATGCCACCTACTGGCCCAAATTGATGGATTTTAATGTAACAGATTAAAAAACGTTTACTTGTTAAAATTTAGAATAGAATCAGGGACCAGCAGATGGTATAATGGTCACATTGCTGGACTCCCATGTAGCTGGCCACAGTTCATGTCCTGACCCGGAGGCTTGGAACTCACGCTGGCCTTGTGGGCGTGCATGCCCACAATCCTGAGAGGATAATGGAAGAAAAAGGATTGTGGCATGGCCAGCCCTCCTGGGGGGGTTCTCACTTTATGTGTCTCTGTCAAATGCACACGCCCTATAACAAAAGTCTCTCCCCCCAAAAAATTTTTGTATAGAATCAGAGAAGAATATACCCAGTTTTCTGAAGAGGCTATTAAAACACTCTCCCCTCTTTCACCTTCCTATCTGGATAAAGCCATAATTTTCTTTTTTAATTTTTGCAGTGAGTGCATGTGACCTATAGCAAAAGAGAGAGAAGAGGAGAAGAGAGAAAGTGAAAAAGTACCCTTGTATCCTTCTAGTGGGGGATGACCACATCGTAATCCTTTCTCTATCACTCTCCCCTCGAGAGTTTAGACATGAATGCAGATACGCCCAGCACATTACTCAAGGACCACTGGGTCTGGTCTCAAACCTTGCAGTCAGCCATGTGGGATCCAGCCACCTTAACCACCAGCCAGATTTCTTTGAGAACAGGGAAAACAACATATGGCCTGTATCTTGGAGAAGCATTTAAATGTTGCACCCCCCCCCTTTTAATTTAATTTAATTTAATTTTATTTTTTTTCTGGAGAGGTTTTGCTATAGGGCGCTTGCGCTAGCCACAAAGTCAGAGAGAGACAGACAGAAAGTGTGTAACACCCCCCGGGGGGATGGGCATGCTGCAATCCCTTCTCCTCCATTCTCCTCTCAGGATCTTGGGCATGCATGCACATGTGCCCGACATGAGTTTAAGCCACCAGGTCCAAGATTTGAACCATGGTCAACTATATGGGAGTCCAGTGACAGCCATTTCGCCAACTACTGATCCCTACTTGTTGCTTTTTGTTGTGAAGCATTCTGTCCTACACCTTTGATGATAGCACTTCGATTTTTTTGGTGGGGGTCTTAACGCATCTAGGGTGCTGGTACATCAGACACATAATCTTAAGACTTTGATTCTTTTTTTTTTTAGTTGTTTTTTTTCCCCTCAAGAAAGTACCTTCTCACTTTCTCTCTCTATGTCTCTGTCTCTCTCTGGTCAAATTAAAATGAATGAGTAAATAAATATTTTATTCATTGCCATTATTTTTATTTTATTTTATTTTGAAGTTGACCAGAGAGAGAGAAGGAAAGTGAGAAAGCAAGTTGCCAGGTCTGGAACTCGAACTGCAGTCAGCCATGTGGGAGTCAAGCTGCCTTAACCACTACTTCATCTGCCAGCCCCAACCCTGTTATTTTTTAAATTTTTATTTATTTTATTTTTGGAGAAGCTTTTGCTATAGGGCATGTGCACTCACCAGAAAGACAGAGAGACAGAGAGAGAGACAGAAAGTGAGAAATCACCCCCCAGCGGGTACAGCCACACCTAATCCTTTCTCCTTCATTCTCCTCTCGGGATCTTGGGCACGCACGCACACGCGCTTGGCGTGAGTTAAAGCCACCGGGTCTGGAACTTGAACCACAGTCTGCTACATGGGAGTTCAGAGACATAGTCATTACACCAACTGCTGGTCCCTAGCCCTGTTATTTTTTGTTGTTTGTTTGTTTGTTTGTTTTTTGCATCTGGTTCTTTAAGCTTTTTTTGTTTTTTTATGAGTTTAGATTTTTTTCTTCCTTTGTTAATACATGTTTTCTGGCGTTTCTTTCCAACATAACCTGTCTTCACCTATTTTGAAAATCAGTATTTGGAACTTTATTTTATTTATTTATTTATTTTGAGATGTTTTCGCTATAGGGCGCATGCGCTCGCCAGACAGACAGAGACAGAGAGACAGAAAGCAAGAAAGCACTCCCCAGGGGGGATGGCCACGCCGCAATCCCTTCTCCCCCATTCTCCTCTTGGGATCTTGGGCACGCACGCACACGCGCCTGGCGTGAGTTTTAAGCCACCGGGTCCGGAATGCGAACCATGGTTGACTACGTGTGAGTCCAGCGACATAGCCATTACACTAACTGCTAGTCCCGGAACTTTAATTTTTTTAAAGAAGCCAGACACATCAATATTCCTTAGAACTACAACAAATAAAAAAAGATTCTGAGAACTACAAATTGAAAATGCAATGATTTTGTCTCTAAAATTTCTTTTCACAGAAAATTAAAATATCATTTAAGAAGACAAACTTACAGCACAGATTTTAGACACAGACTTTAAATTTCAGTTTTAAAGGTGTTCACATTTCCTGTCTTATTTCACAAGTGAAATATAGTAGGTCCTGTTTGCTCTGAGGAATACTTTGTCCCTCTCAGCAGAAACGGTGTGGGACTGAGAAGAATGGGATGATATAATTCCAAATACTAAGACAAAACAAAACAAAAGAAAAAACTGTCAGTCAAGAATTATATACTCACCAAACCTATCTTTCAGAATAGAAAGAGACTTGCTCAGACACGCAAAAATTGAGGGAATACACTTTCACTAAGGGAGCCTTATGAGAAATCCTTAAGGGGGGAGGTCTTCTTTTTGGACCTAAAGGACAATAACTATGAACATTTTAAAAAAAGAAAATACAAAATACACAGATAGAATAGACACAAATGAGGAACAGAAAAGAATCAAAGTCTATTACTACAACAAACCACCAAAACATAATCATAGTAAGAGAGAAAAAAAACAAAACACCTAACAAAATGACAGTAGTAAGTTTTAGTCTATTTATAACAACCCCAAATATAAATGGATTAAACTCCCCATTGAAAGATACCGACAAGCTGAATGGTTAAGAAAACATACTCGGGGGAACCAGCATTTAGCGTAATGGCTATGTCGCTGGATTCCCACGTAGTCGACCGCGGTTCGTGTCCCGGACCCGGTGGCTTAAAACTCACGCCGGGCGCGTGTGTGTGCGTGCCCAAGATCCCGAGAGGAGAATGGAGGAGAAGGGATTGCGGCGTGACCATCCCCCCTGGGGGGTGATTTCTCGCTTTCTGTCTCTATGTCTCTCTCTGTCTGTCTGGCGAGCGCACGCACCCTACAGTGAAAATCACTCCAAAAAAAAAAAAAAAGAAAACATACTCGGGATGGGTCCAGCAGTTGGTGTAATGGCTTTGTCCCTGGACTCCTATGTAGTTGACTGTGGTTCGTATCCTGGACCCGGTGGCATAAACTTTGCCGGGCACATGGCGTGGCCACCCCCCGAGGGGTGGTTTCTCATTCCTGTCTCTGTCTTTCTGGTAAGTGCATGTGCCCTATAGCAAAAACCTCTCCCCCCCCCCCACCAAAAAAAAAAAAAAAAGAAAAAAAGCTTTTGGGGCTTGCAGATGGTGTGGTTGAGGCGCTGGACCTCCCACATGGCTGGCTGTGGTTCAAGTCCTGGACCTGGCAGCTTGCTTTCCCACTTTCTCTTTCTCTCTCTGGTCAGATTTTAAAAATAATAAAAATAACAATGAATAAAATTGAAAAAAAATAGAAAACAGTATTAGGGACCAGCAGATGGTATAATGGTTACATCACTTGACTCTCACATGGTTGACCGCAGTTCAAGTCCCAATGGCTCGAAACTAGGGTGTGTGTGTGTGTGTGTCCAAAATCCCAAGAGGAGAGGAGAAGGTATTACAGCATGGCCATCGATGATTTCTCGATTTCTCTCTTGCTATCTCTGTCTGGTGCACATATATACCCTATAACAAAAATCTCTTTAAAAAAAGAAAACATACTCTCTTCTGTCTCCTTTTTCTTTTAAAGAATTATTCTCTTTAACTTTATTTATTTGTTTGTTTTGATTTGACCAAAGGGGGACAGAGTGAGAGAGAGAGAGAAAGTGAGAAAGTAAGCCACCAGGTCCGGGACTCGAACCATGGTCAACCACATGGCAGTCCAGTGCCCTTAACCACCATGCCACCTGCCGCTGTGCCCACCCCATTCTTAATTCAAATATAAGTCTTAGGGACCAGCAGGTGGTGTGCTGGTTTAGGCACTGGACACTCTCACATGACCAACCACAGTTTGAGTCCTGGAACTGGTAGCTTGCTTTCTCATTTTTGTTCTCTTTCACTCTTTGTGTGTCTTGCTCTGGTCAAATTAAAAAATAAATGAATGAATAAATAAAATTAAATAATTCTTTAAAAAAATAAAAAAATATTAAGTCTTAGACCAAATGTTTGGATCAGTCTTTGAGGACTCTGAAATGTAAATGGTAGCACACAGAAGGGGAAGAAGATCAGAATTTGAAGTTCTACCAAACCAGTTATGAGTAGTTTACCATTTTTTCCCCCTCCTTCAGTATCACCTAGCCTGGACTCAAAGATAGCCTGAAACTCCAGGCTTGAAGAGAGAGAATAGCAAGAGCTCTTGGTTCTGATCTGAGGAGTAGGAAAGGATCTCCTCAGAGTCAGAGATGGTGGGAGAAATCACATTTCTTTTTTTTTTTAACCTTCTTTCCTGGCCTGGTTTACAGCAATACTGCCCTGTGGTAGCAGTGGGCCAGCAATGACTGACAACAGGGCAGGCACCTTAAAACTGAAGGAGAACTCTCAGGAGAGAGGCTGTGAACTCGAGAGCTTGGAGTGAGTTCTGCCTTTTTTACTGTGTCCTACTGCTTGGGCCTTGATGCAGTGGTTTGTGTATGGCAAAGTAGGAGAACCAAAGCCCAGGAATGCAAAGTTGTTTTATATTTGAAAATCTGTCACTGGGGACCACCAGTTGGCGTAATGGCTATGTCGCTGGACTCCCATGTAGTCGACTGCAATTCGATTCCCGAACCCGGTGGCTTAAACTCATGCAAGGCACGTGTGCATGCATGCCCAAGATTCCAAGAGGAATATGGAGAAGGGATTGCTGTGTGGCCAACTCCCTGGGGGGGTGATTTCTCACTTTTTGTCTTTGTCTCCCTGTTTTTCTGGTGAGCTCATGCACTCTATAGCAAAAACCTTTCCAATAGAAAGAAAAAGAAAGAAAATCAATAAATGTAAGCCACTGCATTAATCTAAAGAAGAAAAGTCATATGATCGATTATAGCAACTGACACAGAAAAAGCATTTGACCAAAAACACCATTGGTTCATATAAAAACAATTGCAAACTAGGAAGAAAAGGGAACATCCTTAACCTGATGAAAGGCATCTACAAAAAACCCACAGCCAGCCCCATACTTAATGGTGAAAAACAGAACGCTTTGTCCCTGAGGTCCAAAATAAATCAAAGATGTCCATTATCACTATTTCTACTCAATATCATACTGAATAGCTAGTACATTAAGGGAAGAGAAAGAAATGAAAAGTATAAACACTAGAAAGAAACTAATAAAACTGTCCCTTTTTGCAAATGACATGACTGTATGTAGAAAAATCCCATGGCAGGCCAGCCAGTAGAAGTGTGGTCATGGTTCAGGCTGCTGGATCCCACATGTCCTACAACATGGTTCAAATTCCCTGTCGTTTGAAAAACATGCTGGGTACGTGTGTGCATGCTCAAAATCCTGAAAGGAAAAGGGATTTGCAGTGTGACCAATCCCCCATGGGGACTGCTTTCTCGCTTTCCTGGTCTTTCTGTTCCACCCCAGTGAATGCCCATGTGCTCTAAAAAAATAAAAATTCCATTGAATATACAAAAATAGCTCTTATAATAAATAACTTTAGCAAGGTTGCAGGATATAAGATCAACACAAAAATGATCATATTTCCATATATTTCCAGTGAACAATTTGAAATGAAATTACCAGTAAACAGCGCCGTTTACAGTAGCACCAAAAAAGGAAAGAGAGGAGACCACTAGATGGCATAATGTTTACAATGCTGGATTCTCACATAGTCGACTGCAGTTCGAGTCCTGGGCCTAGTGGTTTAAAACTCACACCAGGCACATGTTTATGCATGCCTGAAATCCTGAGAGGAGAATGGAGAAGGGATTGCAGCATGGCCATACCCCCTGGGGGGCAATTTCTTGCTTTCTGTCTCTGTCTCTCTGGTGGGCACAAGCACCCCATAGCAAAATCTCTACCCCCAAAAAATAATAAGATAAAAGTATTGGGGCTTCTTTCCTGGCCTGGTTTACAGCAATACTGCCCTGTGGTAGCAGTGGGCCAGCAATGACTGACAACAGGGCAGGCACCTTAAAACTGAAGGAGAACTCTCAGGAGAGAGGCTGGGAACTCGAGAGCTTGGAGTGAGTTCTGCCTTTTTTACTGTGTCCTACTGCTTGGGCCTTGATGCAGTGGTTTGTGTATGGCAAAGTAGGAGAACCAAAGCCCAGGAATGCAAAGTTGTTTTATATTTGAAAATCTGTCACTGGGGACCACCAGTTGGCGTAATGGCTATGTGGCGGGACTCCCCTGTAGTCGACTGCAATTCGATTCCCGAACCCGGTGGCTTAAACTCATGCAAGGCACGTGTGCATGCATGCCCAAGATTCCAAGAGGAATATGGAGAAGGGATTGCTGTGTGGCCAACTCCCTGGGGGGGTGATTTCTCACTTTTTGTCTTTGTCTCCCTGTTTTTCTGGTGAGCTCATGCACTCTATAGCAAAAACCTTTCCAATAGAAAGAAAAAGAAAGAAAATCAATAAATGTAAGCCACTGCATTAATCTAAAGAAGAAAAGTCATATGATCGATTATAGCAACTGACACAGAAAAAGCATTTGACCAAAAACACCATTGGTTCATATAAAAACAATTGCAAACTAGGAAGAAAAGGGAACATCCTTAACCTGATGAAAGGCATCTACAAAAAACCCACAGCCAGCCCCATACTTAATGGTGAAAAACAGAACGCTTTGTCCCTGAGGTCCAAAATAAATCAAAGATGTCCATTATCACTATTTCTACTCAATATCATACTGAATAGCTAGTACATTAAGGGAAGAGAAAGAAATGAAAAGTATAAACACTAGAAAGAAACTAATAAAACTGTCCCTTTTTGCAAATGACATGACTGTATGTAGAAAAATCCCATGGCAGGCCAGCCAGTAGAAGTGTGGTCATGGTTCAGGCTGCTGGATCCCACATGTCCTACAACATGGTTCAAATTCCCTGTCGTTTGAAAAACATGCTGGGTACATGTGTGCATGCTCAAAATCCTGAAAGGAAAAGGGATTTGCAGTGTGACCAATCCCCCATGGGGACTGCTTTCTCGCTTTCCTGGTCTTTCTGTTCCACCCCAGTGAATGCCCATGTGCTCTAAAAAAATAAAAATTCCATTGAATATACAAAAATAGCTCTTATAATAAATAACTTTAGCAAGGTTGCAGGATATAAGATCAACACAAAAATGATCATATTTCCATATATTTCCAGTGAACAATTTGAAATGAAATTACCAGTAAACAGCGCCGTTTACAGTAGCACCAAAAAAGGAAAGAGAGGAGACCACTAGATGGCATAATGTTTACAATGCTGGATTCTCACATAGTCGACTGCAGTTCGAGTCCTGGGCCTAGTGGTTTAAAACTCACACCAGGCACATGTTTATGCATGCCTGAAATCCTGAGAGGAGAATGGAGAAGGGATTGCAGCATGGCCATACCCCCTGGGGGGCAATTTCTTGCTTTCTGTCTCTGTCTCTCTGGTGGGCACAAGCACCCCATAGCAAAATCTCTACCCCCAAAAAATAATAAGATAAAAGTATTGGGGCTGGCAGGTGGCATGGTGGTTAGGGGGCACTGGACTCTCACATGGCTTACCATGATTTGAGTCTAGGACCTGGTGACTTGCTTTCTCACCTTCCTTCTCTCTATGTGTCTGATCAAATTAAAATAAACTAATGAATAAATAAATGAAATACTTTTAAAAAATTTTTTTCTAAATTGGGGGCTGGCAGGTGGTGATGGTTAAGAGTGCTGGACTCCCACATGGCTGACCATGATTTGAGTCTAGGACCTGGTGGCTTGCTTTCTCTCTTTACGTCTCTCTTTCACTCTGTCCCTCTATTGTCAAATTAAAATAAATAAATATATACATTAACAAAATGACAAGAACTCCAAATATGTGTTCCTTAAAAAAAAAAAAAGAAAAGAAAAAAGAAAAGATACTTAGACTTACGTTCAGGACTGGTATGTGGAAAAACAAAATGCTGATGAAATCAAGACCTAATGGAAAGAAATACCATGTTTGTGGATTGGAATTCTTAATGTAGTCATCAGTTTTCTCCAGTTGGATTATACAGAGTTAATACAATTCTAATTGCAATCTCAGTAGGATTTTCTGTAGATACAGACTAGCTCTCTGTCTCTCTGGCGAGCACATGCGCCCTATAGCAAAAATCTCTCTAAAACAAAAAGAGTTGAGGGACTTAACGCTACCCAGTTTTAAAAACTACTGGAAAGCTATAATACTCATGACTGTAGAGATAGGTTAATGAAGCAAAATAGGAAAGTGCAGAAACAGACCTACACAAATAATGACCAACTGATTTTTGGAAAAGCTGTGAAGGCAATTCAAAAAGAAAAGATATTCGGGCCTGACAGATTAAGGGAGCTGGACTCCCACATGGCCCACCGTGGTTCGAGTCCTGGACCTGGCAGCTTGCCTTCTCTCTTTCTCTCCTTCTTTGGTCAAATTAAATACATAAAATAATTCTAAGAAAAAAACTTTTGATCTCCTTTTAAAAAAAAGTATTCAACGGAAACAGGATGGTCTTTTCTTTTTTTGCCAGAGGACACATGCCCTTGCAAGACAGAAATGGAAAGAATGAGAACAAGAGAAAGGGAAAGGGAGAAAGCACCCTCCATGGGAAATGGCCATGCCTCAATCCTTTCTCCTCCACCTCTCTCTCGCTTTATGATTCTAGGCATATGCATGTACATATTTCTCAAGAGCCGTGTCCAGGACTCTTAACTACATTGTTGGCCACGTTGGATGCAGTTACCTTAACCACCACCCATAGCCTGGCCCTTGGATAGCCTTATCAACAAATGGTGTTGAAACAATTGAACGTCTATATATAAAAAAAATGAACTTTGGGGACCAGCAGCTGGCACAATGGCTATGTTGCTGGACTCCCATGTAGTTGACCACAATTCGAGGTCTGGACCCAGTAACTTAAATTCACGCTGGGCGCATGTGCATGCACGTGCCCAAGAACCCGAGAAGAAAATGGAGGAGAAGGGACTGCTGCGTGGCCATCCCCCCAGGGGGTGATTTCTCACTTTCTGTCTCTTTGTCTTTCTGGCGAGTGCCCATGCTCTATAGCAAAAACTCAAAAAAGAAAAGAAAAGAAAAGAACTTTGACCCTAAATTCTCACCTTAAAATTAAAAAAAAAATTTTGGAGAGGTTTTTGCTATAGGGCGCGTGTGCTCGCCAGACAGAGACAGACAGAGAGACAGAGAGCAGGAAATTACCCCCCAGGGGGGATGGCCACACCGCAATCCCTTCTCCTCCATTCTCCTCTCGGGATCGTGAGCACGCATGCACACGCGCCCGGCGTGAGTTTAAGCCACCGGGTCTGAGGCTCGAACCGCGGTCGACTACATGGGAGTTCAGCAACTTAGCCATTACACTAACTGCTGGTCCCCTGGATTTTTTTTTTTTAAGAGAGATTTTTGTTGTAGGGTGCATGCGCTTACTGGAGAGACAGAAAAAGTGAAAATCACCCTCAAGGGAGATAGCCATGCCACAATCCCTTCTCCATTCTCCTGGGATTTGGGGCATATGCATGCACACACACCTGGTGTGTTTCAAGCATCTGGGTCTGGGACTTGAACCTCAGTTGGCCACGTGGGAGTCCAGCGCCTTAACCATTGTGCCACCTGCTGGCCCCTTATGGATCATAATTAAATATAAAATCCTAAAACTTTGGGACCAGCAGTTGGCCTAATGGCTATGTCACTGGACTCCCATGTAGTTGATTGCAGTTCAGGTCTTGGACCCGGTGGCTTAAACTCACGCTGGGTGTGTGTGTGTGTACATGCCCAAGATCCCAAGAGGAGAAATGGAGGAGAAGGGATTGCGAAGTGGCCACCTCCCCCCACCCTGGGGGGGGTGAGTTCTCACTTTCTGTCTCTGTCTTTCTGGCAAGTGCACGCATCCTATAGCAAAAATCTCTAAAAAATATAAATAAATAAAAAATAAAATCCTAAAACTTTTGGAAGGAAAAAAAATCAAAGAAATATTCATGTCCCAGAATTAGGCAAAACTGCTAACTTAGACTTCACCAAAATTGAAAACCTTTACTCTGAGAAAAAATACTGTTAAGAGATTGAAAAACATGGTGCTGGCAGTGGTGTGATTAAGGTGCTGGACTCCCACATGGCCGACCATGGTTCGAGTCCCAGACCTGGTGGCTTGCCTTCTCACTTTCCCTCACTCTATCTCTGTATCTCTCTCTGGTCAAATTAAAAAATAAATGAGTGGATAAATAATTTTTAAAAATGCTAACCTTTAAGAATAAATAATTAAATGAATAAGTAAAGTTAAATGAAATAATTACTTTTTTAAAAAAAGATTAAAAAACAAGCTGTGTATTGGTAGAAAATATTTGTAGGGCCAACAGGTCCATGGTGTTTAAGGTGATGTACTCCCACATGGGTAACCTCGGTTAGAGTCTTGGACCTGATGACTTTCTTTCTCACTTTCCCTTTCCCTCTCTTTGTTCTCTCTCTCTCTGGTCAAATTAGAAATAATAATAATGGTAAATAAATTAATTGAAATAATTCTTCTAAAAATTGGCAAATCACAGCTCTGACAAAGGACTTGATCCAAAATAACTGTCAAAAGAAAAATAAGCCTAAATAAATCCATTTTAAAAATTATCTTAATTTTATTTATTTATTTATTCATTTTAACTTGACCAGAGAGGGACAGAGACAGGAGGAGAGGGAAAGTGAGGAAACAAGCCATCAGGTCCAGGATTTGAACTGCAGTCAGCCATGTGGGAGTCCAGCACCCTCAACTACCATGCCACCTGCTGGTCCCATAAATCCATTTTTAAATGGACAAAAATTGCCAAAAAGAGTACAGTTGGTTAAAATACAAGAAAAGATGCTCAGCATCATTTAACTACAGGCTAACTTCAAATTAAAACCACACTGAATACTAATGCATACCAATTAGAATGGCTAAACTTAAAAAACATACTAATAGGGCTAGTTGTGTATGCTACATATGTACCATTTTTAATTGTTGATTTAATAAAAAATGATTTAGGATGTGGAACAATGGGAATGCTCATACATTGCTGATATGAATGTGAAATGACACAGCCACTCCAGAAAACTGGAAAATAACTTGGTCATTTGATTTCCCCTTGGTTTTTGCCATATGGCACATGTGCCCACTGGAGATAGACAGAGAGAAACAATGAGAAGGAGAGTGAGAAATCACCCCCAGGTGAAGATGACCATGCCACAGTCCCTTCTGCATTCTGCACCTAGGAGTTTGGGCATGCGCACACACATGCCAGACATCATTTTTAAGGTGTCAGGTCCAGGACTCAAACCATGGTTGGCCATGTGGGAGTCCAGTGCCCAGCCATTACACCATCTGTTGGCCCTGGCCATTTCTTTTTCCTTTTTCCTTTTTTTTTTTTTTTAAGAGACTTAATGCTATAGGTATGTATGCTCACTGGAGAGAGCGAGAAGGGGACAGAAAACGAGAAATCACCCCCCAGAGGGGATGGTCATGCCACAATCCCCTCTCCTTCACTCCTGTCTTGGAATTTTGGGCACACACACCTGCACATGTGCTTAGTGTGCGTTTTTAGCCACTGGGGCTGGGATTTGAACCATGGTCAACTATGTGGGAGTCCAGCAATGTAACCATTACGCCAATTGCTGGTCCCAGCCCTGGCCATTTTCTATAAAGGTAAATATATACTTTGTATGGTTCACAATAGCATAACACCAAAATCTGTAAATGACTGTTTTGGAATCTCTCTTTTTTTTTTTTTTTTTTGAGAGGTTTTGCTATAGGGCGCGTGCACTCGCCAGACAGACAGACAGAGAGACAGAAAGCGAGAAGTCACTCCCAGGGGGGATGGCCATGCCGCAATCCCTTTTCCTCCATTCTCCTTGGGATCTTGGGCATGCATGCACATGTACCCAGCGTGAGTTTAAGCCACTGGGCCCAGGACTCGAACCGTGGTCGACTACATGGGAGTTCAGCAACCTAGCCATTACACCAACTGCTGGTCCCTGGAATCTCTTCATAACCAAAAAACTGCAAACAGCTCAACTTTCCTTCAATGGGTGAACAGATAAACAAGCTATAGTACATCTGTAAATGAAATATTACTCAGTGATAAGAGAAAAAAAGTGAACTGTTGATAAGTTCATGTATCTCATAGGCATTAAACTGAAAAAAGTCAGTCTGAAGTCTGTGTCCTTAAAAAAAAAAAACCACACACCTAGTGCTACATACTGTATGACTGCACTTAGGCTATTCGTGAAACCACAAAATAGCAAAAATCTCAATGGTTCCAGGCAGTGAGGGATGGAGCAGGGTGTGGCTGCAGAGAAGCAGCACAAGGGAGATTTGTAGATCCTCATTGTGGTAGTGGTGACAGGAATCCCCTTTTGATAAAATTCAGGACACAAGTTAATTATAAGTAAAATTTTAAAACATAATGGGACATATATGATTTATAAAAAGGAACATTTATATTCTTCAAGAAGGTATCTATTATTTTAGTATAATCCTCCCTTACCCATGGGGGATATATTTCCAGACCCCCAGAGGGTGCCTGAATCCATGGATAGCACTAAACCCAATATATACTGTTTTTTTTTTTCTTATATACACATATCTTTCTTAATATTTGTAAGTTAAGTGCAGTAAGAAATTAACAAAATAGGAACTAGTAGGTGGCATGGTGGACACTCCCATATGATTGACCATGGTTTGAGCCCCGGACCTGGTGGCTTGCCTTCTGACTCTCTCTCTCTCTGTCTCTCTCTGTGTATCTTTCTTGTCAAATTTTTAAAAATGAATAAATAAATTTAAATATTTTTAAAAAAGAAATTAACAAAATAACTAGTAGAACAGTTGTAACTATGATAAAATTTGGATGAATATGGTGTCTCAAATTATTGTACTGTACATCAGGTAATTGATAGGGGGGGGAAACAAAACCACCGGATAAGGGGAACTACTCTAAGTGGTAGTTGTCATCTGTTTCTTTTTTGTTTTAAGAGGCTTTTGCCGTAGTGCACTTGGGCTTGCCAGAGAGAAAGACAGACAGTGAGAAGGAAAGTGAGAAATCACCCCCAAGGCCACACTGCAATCCCGTCTTCATTCTTCTCCCGGGGTCTTGGGCATGCATGCAGACGTACCTGGGACTCAAAACACAGTTGGCCATGTGAGAGTCCAACAATGTGACTGCTATGCCATCTGCTGGTCCCAGTTGTCATCTGATTAAGATGGAAAGACTTATTCTGTATCTTCCCTCAGCAGCAAGACCTATGGTTGTTTGTGCTTTCTTATTCAAGAACCAGTTTCTCGCACATAACCTGTATGGCTATGTTTAGCA